GCTCCCCGCTCCTTCCCCTCCCCTCCCGGCTCATTTCTCCCTCCCCGCTTCCTCTCCTCCCCACCTGGTCCCCCCTCTCTCCCCGAAATCCTTCAGCTGCCACACTCATCGCTCCCCGGCTTTGTTTAAAAAAATACGTACATATCCAAATAGATTGGAGGCGCTTTCCTCCCGGGTAGGAGCACAGCCCCTGTTCCCAACATCGGCCTGGGACCATGGCTGGTTCCCCTAGCTGCCTCCCAGGGGCCCCGGGGCCCGGGGTGGCCCGCAGTCCCAGCCTGCTTTAAGCCTGGATTTGGGGGGGGGGGCGCAGACTGGGGGAGCGCACAGAGAAAGTGACAGGCAAAGGAGGCGAGGAGGGGACAGCCCGAACTCTCCCAGCCTCACTCCCAGTGATAACCTGCAGCTATGGAGTCACCGACCAAGGAGATTGAAGAATTTGAGAGCAACTCTCTGAAATACTTGCAGCCAGAACAAATCGAGAAAATCTGGCTCCGGCTCCGAGGGCTGTAAGTAAATCTCTTTGCTTCTCTTGCCCCCTTTCCCGCTCCCGTCAGTATTTTACTACATGGCCAGGCTCCCCTGATCCCGCAGGGCCCTTTCAGAGCAGCCCCGAAGTTCTACCGCGGCTCCTCTGTTAATTACAGTCACTGCTACCTCCTTTCCACGGCGACTTGTCTCTGACTGAGAACGCCTTGCTGTTTCCAAGTCATGCTTTCTTTGGGGGAAGGACACAGGTCTTTAAATTTCGGTTGTAGTAGCTTAGTAGCCACAGAGATGTTTCTGGTCCTCTTTTGCCCAGGGAGAAAAGTTTGGGGACTCAGGTCACAGACTTTTAACCACAGGAAGAATTTTCTCTGCAAAGTGCTGGCAAACATCTTGGCAGGTGGTCCGAGAACTGAACAATCGTTCAGATTCAACGTGCATTCTGGCTGCCAAATTCGCTTCTCCCTCTTCCCAGCCTCGTTCAGCTTCTGATATTTTCTTAGACTTCTTTCCAGCAGGGAAATGGTCATTGACAGAAAGGGCTATCTTGGAGAAAGGCGGGGGGGGGCAGCAGCAATCTTGGATTTCCTAGTAATCTGGGAACAGTGAAGTAGGGTGTCTGCTTTCAATGCAGTGGCCAGAATTCTGGTTGGACTGATGGACAAAGATTTCTGCATTTCATTCACTTCATTGGGTTCTGTCTGGTTTTGGGTACCAGGCAGGTAGGTCCCAAAGACACCTTCCCATAACGACCAGAAACACAGTTCATCAGGTATTTGACATCAAATATCTAGTGGTGTTTAAAAGAAAAAGCTTTTTTCCATGTATATTCTCTGGATGTCCTCTTTCTACCAAAGGCAGCGAGGGGGCCCAGACAGTTTGTTTTGCTACAACAAAACAAATAGAAAAGGCACGGATCTCTCAGTTAGCTCCGTCTTAGGGGAGGCGACCTCCCAACTGGGATATTCTCAAGGGAAGCCAAGGTTGTCTGTGTTTCTTTAAGGGGGTCCCTATTTAAAGTACAATTTATAAAAGCCCTCCCACAGTAATTCATGAGCTCCACTGCTATTGATCTAAATGGGAAACCAGGCCAAATAGCAGGACACTTGGAGCATCTGGCTGCTGCAAGCAGAGGCTGTAACTTATTTGGAAATTTTGTCTTTCTGGCTGGCAGGCTGTCCTTAACGGTGGAGGCACAGGCACAGCGCCTGGGTCTGAGCGGAGTTTACAGTAAGCTTGTGTCATGCGGAACGAACGTGACATCTGATCGTATTTTGGTGCACACAGAAAGTTTGTTGCATCCACAAAGCCTGGGCCCAGGGTATACAATGTCAGAGTGGTGACAGGCTGGGTCTCCTTGCCATCCCAGCTGGAGGGACTCACAGCTCACCCTCTCCGGAGGTGCTTCTCTCTGGCTGCTTTACAACTCTCACGACTCCCCGCAGCGACGCAGGCTGGAGGGGAGCCTTTGGGCGAATCAGGGGGCCTGAGGGGGGGCCCTGTGCCATAAAGCATTTAGCGGTTACAGCTCGCTTGTAGCTTTCTCTGTTTCATGCCTGTTAGGCTTCTCTCCCCAAGGTTCTGGATGTCACGTTATCCGCTAGTCTCTCGTATCTACTCAGCTCCCAGTGTCTTTACACATAAAACGTGTGGGTGGGTTGATGTTTTCCAAATGTGTGCTTTCGGATCCCTCTCTTTACCCTTCCCACTGGAGAGTTGTTGCTTCACTTTCTAATTTGTAAAAAGGCCACGTGACTATTGTTATTATGACATATATGTATACTACAGTTTTACTATGGTTATGTTTTTACTATGACTTTTTTTTTTTTTAACGTAACAGTAATGCTATATTAAGTTGCTAAAGACTCCGGAAAGCCAAACACTCTTATTTATACAACTCGGAATAACACTTTTGCAGCTCACAAAATAGAAACCCCGAGGGGATGGAAGCGTGTGTTTGTCCACACAACAGACTCTGTTAGAGAAAGGAAGCTGCTCTTTCAACATTGTAGAAACACCCAGTAGCCACAATTGGATTTTCGTGTCAATTTATTACCATGACACCCTTCTGAAGGGCTTTGGAGGTGAGCACAGATGGTCAGGGGTTCAGTTCTGCTAGTTGGACAACTGTGAAGTCAGGGACTTGGTGATCTCATGCTTGGACATTCAGTGGTGTCTGTCTCCTTCTCGTCAGTATCAGCCCTATTTAATCTATTGTTGAATTTTTCGTCTCCTCCCCTATCCTGTAAGTTCCTCGAGGACAGACACCCGTGTGTCTTGCTCACTGCTCTACCTCCAGTGCTTAGAACAGGGTTTGGCACATAGTAGGTGCTCTACCGGTAGGTGAGGACAGAAGCATAAAGACCTAAGTGGGAACCTTTTATTATTTGAAATGAAGATGAATATGGTCGGCTTACAGACCATGTGACCTAGCAACACTGGATTCCGTGAGCTAGAGGGGAGCAGGTTTTATTGACATCGTTACCCAGGTTGGGCACAGAAATCTAAACTGAGGCGGGTCTGGGCAAGATGTGGCAAAGCCACGGCCCAGGGCTGAATCCCACTCTGTCTGTCCGTCCCCTTGCCTGTCCCCTTTTCTGCACAGGCCCGGAGTGGCCTTCTCCAGCAGCAAGAGGGCCGCTGAGGCCGTTGTCTGTCAAGAATGCCCAGTGTAGGATACAAGAGACGAGCGTCTCTGCGTTACAGCCCCCATCCCTCTTCCACACCATTTTTCCTCTTTATTTTCTTTGATTTGAATACTATGTATTTTATTTTAATTTATTATGCTTATGATCTTTCTCCTCGGATAGAACATAGGCTCCCCGAGGACAGAGGATTTTTTAGGCCTGTTTTGGTCACTGGTGCGGCCCCAGTGCCTACGATACTACCTGGTGTGCGTGAATTATCAATAAGCACATGAAACCTGGGGCTGTTTCGCATGTTTCTCTGAGAGAGAATCAGGGAAAACTCTTAGCCTCGCCTTGTAGCATCGTCAACTCACTGATAGTGCGTCGGATATTGGAAACGGGAATTTTGAACACTTTCTGCCCCAGCTGAGATGACAACACCCCTCGAGCTTAGGTGTTTACTCTCACGATGACTGTCATTTCCCCGCCCACCACTGTCATCCCCGGGGCCGTGGTCCCCAGGCTCGCTCTGCAGCCGACACCCTCTCCCGCACCTGCTCGCACGCCTCTAATGGGAAGGGAGCGAACCCCGCACACCGAAGCTTTTCTCAGTCACATCTGTCGGAGGCGCGCTGCTCCCTGATATTTCGGGGAGGCGCCTTTTCTTGTTTGTTTTCCTGTCAGCCTCGGTTGTAGGAGTGGGTGGAATTTTTAAGAGCCCCTCCCAATGGCTGTTTTGCTCAGGAACCTTCCAGTCGGGGAAAATACAAGAATGGCTGTGTGTGGTTCCTCCGATGACGCGGGGGAGCCTCACGGCTGCACAGGTTTGAATCATGACTTCTACCTTGGGGCCTGACCAAGAGTTTTTCTTTTGCCAGGACAACAAAAAGATATTTCTGTGCTTTAAAAAGAGTGGAAAGCAAAGAACAGCTTTCACTTGCCCTGTGATTCATGGTCACAGTTGTAAGTAAGCTGTCCCCTCTTCACTTTGCCCACCTATGAGGTAGCCAGTGTAAGACGTTTATGCTCATGCAACCCTGTCAAGATGATGATCGGCCCCAACCCCACCGGCATCTAAAGTAGTTTTATGAATATAAAGGGAGGTATTGGTTACTAGGGTAACAGATAGAGACTATTGCTTTTATCTAACCAGCAAGCTTTCCCACCCCCCTTATTATGGGAACAGACCCTGTCCCCACTCACCGGGGCAGGGGCAGATCTTGTCTTGTTTTGTAGACCAGTGGCCATAGCAACGGGAAGCATGGCAGGTCTGGAGGGATGGATGTGAGAGCTGTTCAGAGGTAGACTCAGCAGGGCTTGGACATGGGCTGAGGAGGGAACTGGGATCTAGGGTAACTCCCAGGTGTTTAGCTTGAGTCCCCAGGTGCTATTGACATAGATCAGGATCAGCGAACAAGGTTGCAGGTGTGGTTGTGGGTGGGCGCACAATGAATGGAGAGTAGAGATCGTGACTTCAGTTTGGGACGTATTGAATAGGAGGGGCCTGTAAGATGTCCTCCTATTCACACGCAGGCCTGGAGATGAAAGGAAAGGTCTGGATTCTGGATTAAAGATGTAATGTACAGCCCAACAAAGTACAAAGAAAAATAATAATATATACAAATATGTGTGTATATGTATATGTGAGTGTGTATGTGTGTATGTGTCTGAATGATGCTAAATTAATATTCTTATACATTTTATAAGTAGAGAAAACATAGTTTAGTGTGACCCCCCCTAAATAGTCTGACACAAGGTGCCAGAAGACACAAGTTCATGCTTTATAACTTTTCACATGTATACAGAATATACAAGTTCATGTTTATTTCTCATTGGTATTTACTTGCTTAACATCTGGGCAAGGCCAGCTAGCAATCAATGTACATTGCTTTGCTTGGAGCTCTTATCTTTACTATTTGGTATCATGCCCAGCAAACATGGATTTGGAGCAGAAACAGAAACCTGGGGGGGTAGGCAGGGTCGTTTCCAGCATTCCAAGGACAGAAAGAGACCGTGACCCAAAAAGCCAAACAGGATCAGGTTCCCATCACAGACTTCGTGGGGACTACTGGACATGAGTGACACATCGGGACACAAAGCCTGGAGCCCAAGCGCACCGTAGATGGGCCTGGTGAAGCTTGGCTGGATGGAGGCCCCCTAGACCCTGCAGGAGGCTGCCTTGTCATCTGGGCTCGGCCAGTGGGCACAGCCTGCTGCTGCTGCTCCACAGGTGCCCTTTGATGGACACACCCGGCCTTTGTCTCTTGGGACAGCCCACAGCCCTTCCACGACACCTCTGCTTCATTCCAGACCTTTTCCTCTTTAAGGTCTTCCAAAAATGGTCATCCCCTCCATTTCCACTCTCTCCCAATGGCCAACAGTCAACATTCTACCCA